GGGGTAAGTGGTCTCTGTGGCCATTCTCTTGGCAGGACCACTCCCCCTCCCCACCCCCCCCCAGTTTAGGTTTGTAGCCAGCCAGGGGCAGCTGCAAGGCTAGGGCCTAAGGCCCAAGAGCAAGGACTTCGCCTGGGCCTCACCACCATGGCGGGCAGTTCCCCCAGCCCCGCACCCATCTGCCTCCATGGGGGCAAAGCAGAGGAGTTTCCTTCCAAGCTGTCCAGTCCCCATGGGAAGTTTTTAAACATTAACCTGTGTTATTTTCCCTCTTGTTTTCTCTTCCTTCTTGGCTTTTCCCAGGATTCCAGGCAAGGGCTGTACAGGGAAAGCAGAGAAAGGGGAGGTGAGGGTCTTTTCCTAGCTTTTACAGTTTAAAAGCCTAGGCCTTCAGAGGGATGGAAAGAGCCCTAGGCCCTCAATTTATAGAAAGGTCGAGTTTCTAGAACCCACACCACAACCACAGAGTAGAGAAAGAGTCCCTGGGAAACTGGAGAGCAGACAGCAAGTGTCCCGCTAAGGAACCAAGAATGATGAGGTGTCCCAGGAGAAAGTCACTGGGGAGAGAGTTCTCTGTGCCTCGTACAGGTCCCCCACCCCACCCCTCCATGCCCTGCACCCACCAGCAGCAGAGGTAGGTCTGCTGACCTCATGGGTTCACCTCCCCTGGAGAGAGCAGGACTCAGGCACCCCTGGGTGCTGGTGTGGGGGTGGGCTCCACATCTGATGGGAACAGCACAGGGCAGAGAAGTGGAAAAGGCAGACAGGACAGGGTGACTCAGCGAAGAACAAAGAATCTGCAGAATGAAGCGAGAAAGTGAGCAGGCAGCCTGAGAAAGGTCAAGAAGTGAATCGTGTCATTTGCTGTCAACCCCCAAATCTGCTGCCCAAATCCGGAGAGTCAGCCTGTAAAATGGGGGGAACCAGTTTCCACCCTGCAGAACAGGACTGCCACCAGCTCTACCATCCCCACCCACGAGGGAGCTTATCCCAAAGCAAAGAACAGGCTGGTTCTGCCGGGCACCCCATTCCCAGCTCCCAGCCCCACTCCACCCTCTCATCCCCCCAAGTTTCAGCTCCAACCCCAAAAAGCACTCAGAGCCTCAGCTTGTCAGAGCCTGCTCCCCCACCCTCCCCGAAAGTCAGGTTCAGTCTCCAGAAACAGCAAAGCCAGTGACTTGCTGCCTGGCAGCTTCGCCACTGGAGGGTGGTAATGTGTACCCACAAGTGCCACCCAGCAGCCCACACGGGCAGCCCTGCCAACGCCCAGCGAGCCGGCTTCTGCCCCGTCTGGGGGCTAAGGGACAGCTGGCCATGGGAAAGTGAGCGTCTGAGACCCCTTCAGAGAAACAGAGCGGCTGGTACCCATCCCAGGGCCAGTTGCTGGGTGGGTTGCAGCGAAGGAGACTGGACACGATGCTGGAAACTGAACCTATGTGGCATCCAGCGCTGGGCTGCACAGCAGGATGGAAGAGCAGGCGTGTCATTAAGCACCAACACTGGGAGCAGAACCCACGACGCAGGAAGCTGTGGAAAGCAAGGCCCAGAGCACCCACTACAGAAAGGCCGCGTCATGGGCTGGCTGTCCCATACCTGATGCTCAGCCGCCCCTCCGTGCTCCCCGTTTTCTGTACCGCAGGAGGGGACCACCGAAGACCAAGTAACCGGGGCCCCTTACTGGCCAAGAGTCAGTCCATTTGGCTAATGGAAGGTTCTGGCAGTTGATCAGAGGGTGGGGGCAAGGGCAAGGCTGGGGTGTCATCCCTGTGGCCTACCTGCCTGTCCACGGCCACAGTGGGGGGACAGCAGGCGCGAAGCTCCCCTCCAAGGCTCATCAAGCCCATTAAAATACACACATTTCTCACAGTGAGTATAACTTTGCCTCTGAACTCTTGAAAGGGCTTGTATATATTAATCATTCTGATCCCGAAAATAGATAATGCATTTGATTCCTGATTCAAATTTTATTGCATCTCCATATCCTGTCACAGCAGCTCTGTCATGCCACAGTTGAACTAAGTGACAGTAAACATGCAAGGAATGTTACCTAGATATTCATTAATTATTATTTTGAGATTTTCTTTTTAGATTTGGTACCAGCAGACACATGACAATTTTCCAGGCCCTCTAAAAGCTCCCTGGCCCTCAGCACCACGGCTGGCAGACCAAACCTCAGAAATGTCCAGAGTGGCGGGGTCCCTCCTGGGAGGGTGCTGGTGAATGAAGGGCCCAGCCCCAGCAGCCACAGAGGCAAAAGAGAATGACCCACAAGGGAAGGCAGGGGCTATTTCCTGAGCAGGCATGGAGCTAAAAGACAGGGCATGAGAGGAAGCTGAACTCTACATCTGCTACCCCAGGAGCTGACCCCCAAGTCCCCCTCCAGTGGCCCAGCTGGATGCGTAAGATCAGGAAGATCCCCCCAGGGCCTCCCACCTGTGTTCAGGGCCAGGCTGGGACTTGCAACAAGCCAGGTGCCAGCACAGGCTGTACCCCAGCTTCCTGCTCATCAGGATATGCCAAGCCGAGCCCGGGAGCTGAACATCTGGCCTCAGACAACACCTCTGGCCATGCAGGGTGGGGAGGGGCTACTGCTGGCCCAGACCAACCATCCATCATTACCATCTGGGCGGATCCCCCCAGGGGCAGTGAATGTACTCCCCAGCCTGGCACCACCTATGTACACACAGACACCATGTGCATGAAGGGGGGACCTTATCGCCCACATCCCCAGCAGGGCTGCCAGGTTCCCCAACCCTCCCACCCATCAGCTCCAGCAGAGGCTTTCTCCAGCCACAGCCGCAGGCACCGGCGCTCACACACTCTAAGCTGGAGCCCAGGCAAGATTAGGCTCAGGGCAGCTGCCCGGGCACTCTCGCAGTGGTGGCCAGGCCTGGCCCATGAAGCTGCAGTGTCCCAGGGTCAGGGCTCAACCAGACCCAAGCACAGCCAATGGGGGGTTCAGCGTTGGTTGAGGAGCTCTGGCAGGAGCCATGCCAACTCCCCGTCACACCCATGGTGCTAATAACCAAATGGCTTATTAGCTGACAGTTTTTCTTTGCACCAGGACCAGATGGTACCCACAGGCAGCCAGAAACCAAAGCGGCTAGTCCTCTCCGCGCTAAGGCGGGCTGAGGATTCTGTCTGGGAACTCACAGCATGCGGGGTTTAATGGCTGGAGGAGTAGGCATTAGAATCTAAGAAGATTCTAACTTTACTCACTTTTTGCCTCATTGCCCCTCAAGGCTTAGTCAGAGGGGCTCCATAGGCCCAGACAGGGGCAGGCATCACCCCCACCTCCAAGCCAGGCTCTCCCAGAGGCCAGGACAGGAAACCTGACGTGGTAGACCTGGAGGTGGCCATCCAGGTCCCCCCTAGAACTGGGACAAATCCCAAGCCTGGAAGCCACAGCCCAGCCTAGCAGGCTGATTGCCCGTGGGCTGAGGCAGGAGCTGCGGGGCCCTCCCGATGGCAGGACAGAAGCCAACACACAGAGCTGGGTCAGATTAGATCCTGCTCCCTGCTCCATGCTTTCCAGCATAGCACTGAGGCTCCTTACCAGCCTGGCTCCCGCTTCCTGTCCTGGGCAGGTGGAAGTTCCTCTCCTGCAGCCCCCTCCCAGCACAGCCCTCACTTCACCCCATCACCAGGCCCAGCTCCAGCGCAGTACCCGGCACAGAATAAGTATCAACATTTATTGAATGAATGAATGAATGAATATTGGACTGAATATTGAGCACAGTGTTTGGAGAAGTAGGCAAGACAGGAAATGTGTACCCAGGTATGAAGCTCAGTTTGTGCAAAAAATGGAAAGGCATGAAGAAAAACATGAATGTTCCCAAATCCACAAACACTAACACAGGCTAAGTCTCCGCGTAGGGGAGTGGAGGAATGAGATCAAATGCTCAGCAGAGGCCAGTAAACAAAGGCCTGGTAAATTGCATTTTCTGTAAAACTGAATTTTCCCGTCTGCATAAGAAAGATCTGAAAGGTTTGGAGAAGGAAAATGATCTCATCCGTGGGGGTTAGAAAGCTAAATCTGATGGCCTATGAGAGGATGTTGCAGAGGACAAGCTGGGAGACGTGGAGGCCATTCCAGGCCCGGGGCTGTAAGGCCCAGGTTGTGCCACACGTGGCGCAGCGAGAGAACAGACAAGGTGGGCAGGGGAGGGAAACCGGAACGCACTGGGCCGTGGGCGCGCAGGAGAGAGAACAGCTCAGGAAGGAGAATCAAGGGGGTGGAGGCCAGAACGAGCTCAAGCGAGGTAAGGACACAGGTGCCCTTGACCATCCGGAAGACAGGACCCGGGAGCAGGTGCGGGGAAGTTTGGAGCCACATTCTCCAGCCCTCTTCAGGCGTGCGTTTCTCAGGGACATTCCAGGGAAGTTCATCTGCCAACATGCTTCAGCCCTGGGGTCTCCCCAAGTCTGACCACAGCGGGTGCTCTAGACCACAGGACCCTGAAAACTTGAGGTCCAGTTGTCTTCAGAGGTGGGCAGAGCAGGACCATACCTGGTCCTGTCCCTGCCACTTGAGAGGGAGCTCGGGCTGGTTTCACGTGGGCGATGAGCCCGGGGGGGGGGGGGGCGGTTATGGGCCTTCTGGGGCGTACAATTGCTTCTGTGTTCCCCAGCTTCCCCGCTTGTCCAGTTCAAAGACAGCGCAGCGGCAGCCAGGTCTCCATGCCCTCTGACTCAGGAGCCCTTGCTGCCTTCCCACAGAACTCTGTGTCCCCACTCGATGTCCCCACTCCCCTCGAGTGCCCATTGTGTGAGCTCAGCTTCAGTGGGGACAAACTGGGTTGAGAAAAGAGAGTATTTACTTTTTCCACCAAGTCAATGCCCAAGTAAACAATGTGCTCCCCGAAACGGAGTTCACACCCTGCCCCCATTCCCAGGTGCAGCCTGCAGCTAGCATATAAGAAGTCACCCGGTGGGCACATCTCACCACACCATCCACCCGCTCCGGAGACCAGGCCAGAGCCACGCAGCCTCCCTCCACCATGAAGCTCGCCACCATCCTCGCGCTGGTCACCCTGGCTCTCTGCTGCAGCCCCAGTGAGTGCCCGGGAACCCCCTCCACAGAGCGGGCTCAGGGATGCTCCCTGCTCTGCTCTGCTCTGCTCTGCTCTGCTCTGCTCAGGAGTGGGGTGCTAGCTCCCAGCAGGAAGCTGGTCGGTGGACAAGCCCATCTTGGGAATTTGGGGGGAGTGTGTGGGTGTGAGGCAACCTGTAGGGGATCCCATCTTCCATATCCAACAACATCAGAATCCCAGGGGACAGGGTAGCCTGGAGAGAGGGAGGGAGGAGACCCCAGAAAGGTGACGTGTGTCCCATGAGGACCCGAAAGGCACAATGCGTCCCGCACAGCCCAGTCTGGGCAGACCCCACAGACCTCCAGGCTTGAGGTCTCCTCCCCACCCTGGCAGCCAAAGGGACTGCGTGGCCTCAAAGAAACCCAGCCCAAGCTCCCCACTGTGGGCAGAGCAGGACCTTCCCTTTGGGAAGCTGCCAACCCCGAGCAGCCTTTCTAAACATTGTCGTCCTTTGCAAAAAAAGGTTAGGAACCTCGGTAGGTGTCACTGAGACCAAGGAAGGGGGGACCCGAGGGAGGGAGAAGGAAGGGAGGGTCACCCCTCCACGGCCCTGATCTTCTAGGGTTTGTGTTCCCTGTTTTTCACTCTGTGTAGCTTCTTGTGTTCCTTTTAAAATACACCTGTTAACAAATTCCAATTAGCTCACTTTAAAGGTTTCATTAGTGTCCAAGGAGGTAAGTTTTAGGGTCCCGCTCGAGGGTGGGGTGAGATAATCAAGAGGCAGTGGGAGCAGCTGTTGTGCAGAGAGGTTTGATTTTCAAGAGACATAACATCGTTTCTGGGCATTTATTAGAAGTTCTCAGCAAGATGAGATCCCGGTATGTTTAGGGGTGAATCTGGGTGTCTGTATGCACATATGATTGGAATAACACAGAGAGGCAGACTCTACATACAAGGCAGAGAATTCAGGAACAGGGGAGTCGAGGTTCAGCGACAAGGCAGGAAGTAGGAAGCAGGGACTCCCAGTGTCCCGGGGGCAGGCAGCTGAGCAGGGCAGGCGAAGGGAACATGCCGATCTGTCTGCCACGGGCCCAGCACGCTCAGTGCTCCCCTCTTCTGGGTCAGCCTGGGGGTTCCTGCTTGGCTGGTCAAATGCTCCTTCCAGCCAGAGCCACATGGGCCAATGACAAGTGGAACCATGACAGCCACCGGCGAGAGGCCGCTTTCTGGTGGGAGTCAAACCCCTCCATGCCCCTCCCCAGATCCACCCTGCATTAAAATCAGGTCCCCAGCCCCTGCCATCAGTACCTGCTTAGAACGCTAATGGGAAGAAGACAAATAACACCCCCAAACCCCAGCCTGGCGAGTGATCCATGCTCAGAAGGCCAGGCAAGCCACATAGCTGGCTGCCGCCCAGACAGCACCCTCCATGCCAGGGAGCCCGCAGTGTGGCCTACGGCCGGCCGCACGGCTGCCCATCCCAGCACGGTTGCTATCTGCTGCTGACAGGCAGCTGCTGAGAGCTGGGCCAGCTTGGACAAGGGCCTGGACACACGCATGTTCTCTTCCATGCCCCAGCTTCTGCAGAGATCTGCCCGAGCTTCCTGGGAGCCCTTCAAGCCCTCTTCGATGGCTCGCCCGCCAGCTATATGGCTTCCCTGGAAATCTTCAAACCTACCGAAGACATGAAAAGCTCGTGTTCCCAGCTGAAGGCCCTGGTGGACACCCTTTCCCCAAAGACCAAGGAAGGCATCAGGAAGACCATGGTACTGGCCCTTGCCCGGCAGCAGAGCAGGGGCTCCCCAACGTCCCCATGCCATGCCCGCCCCTTTGGGGACCCTTTTCTAATCCCAAGGGAGGAGTCACGATACGAGTCACCACGGGCAGCTGTCTTGCATCTCCTCTGCTCCCCTGGGCTCCTCGGGGACCCTGGGATCACAGCTGCCATGAAGGCGCCGCGTGGCATCGCCCCTCCAGCTGAGGTAGTACACGCAGCACTGACTTGTTTGTTTGCTTGTTTGTTTTAGGACAAGATAGTGACAAGCCCACAGTGTGCTTAGGATGTAGAGGCTGAAGATGTCCAGCTGCTGACGCCCCTGCCTTTTCCCGGACGCCCCCTTCCCTCGGCCTCACCCACCCAGCCCCGCTCCCTTCAATAAAGTGCAAGCATCTCAGCTCCGCGTGCCCTGCGTGCTTTTTACTGACCTGCCTGCGAGAGAAGGGCCGCCACTGCTGGCCACTGCTGGCAGGAGAGCCGAGCCCAACAGCCAGGCCCAGGGCCTGCTCACCCCGGCCGGGAGGGGGACCCTAGCCCCTGTCACTCAGTGACAGAATGAACTATTGTTTGTTCCAGTCCCTTTGGAATCCTGCCCTTAAGAAAAAAAAAAGAAAGTATATCAGGTGGTTCCGTTACCCAAACGTACCTACAAGCAAAACGGGAGGTTTCCAGAGGGTTCCATGTCCCAAAGATAAATGGTGGGTGTTTCGAGCCATTTGACAGGGCAGTAGGGACTTGCTAGCCACTGGGTGGACCTGTGTGGCAGTCCCTTGAATCCCAGCCAGCACCTGACGATGCCACCTCCCAGGGAAAGAAGGGGGTTCCTATAAAAAACTCAGGGAACAAAGGCTGGGGGAAGAATAGACTTGATTCCTTGATCAGGAACCCAGGGTGTTTGGGGGTGACTTTGAGGGGTGAGGGACCCTGAGGGGAGTCCCCAGAGATGGTAGGGTACATTTCCTACCCACGTTGTATTTGCCACATGAAATTAGTGTCAAACTATTTTGTAAAGGGACTGGAAAACAGCGACCCCCTCCCTGCCTCCCACTTACACATTTTCTAGCCTTTTCCTCCACCCCCATCACCAGGACATCCCATTTCTGGGCTGAAACTGAAGGGTCTACATGTCAAAATGGCCATTCACATCAAAGAAACAAGCCCCTGCAGAGTCCCTGCCCTCCCAACTTTCCTGCAAAGAGAGAATCCAAAAAACTGAAACCCCTGTTCCCCTGTTCTGCGTGAAAGAGACTTCAGGCGTGAAATGAATCCCTGTGTGGGAATCCAGGGGTAGAGTTCTTAGCCCAGCAAAAGTGTCTGAGCACTTCCCCTGTGCCTGACCCCACCGAGAGCAGATAAAACAGGCTCGCCAAGCAGGAGCTGGCAACCTAGCAGGGAGACCTCCGCTCCCTCCAAACAAGTAAACAGTTAGGTGGATAAAAGTGTCCCACGCTGCAAAAGGAACACGTGGCCAGACCAACTTCAGCTGAGGAGACCCGGCCTCCCAGCAGAGTCTGGAGGAGTGAGAGGAGCCAGCCTGGGGGGCGGCGGCGGGGGAGCGGGGGGCCAGAGGGCAGAGGGACCAGCAAAAGGAAGCCCAGGCAGATGCGCAGAGACCCCAGCACCCGCGCCCTGACCTTAGGCCCCAGGAGAAGACTCCAAAGCTGTGTGACGTCCCTTTCCTCCAGCCTTGTCACCTAGAGGTGACAGCAGGGGCTCCCCTCTTAGGCCCTCACCCCAATCCACATCTCAAACTGCACCGTCCAGCAGAACCTCCTCTGTTTCTAATCTCAGGAAATTCTGTCTCCAGCCTTCCCTGTCTGCTCCCCCAGGATAGGGGCCTCGCTCTCCAGCACCTCCAGCCAAGCCAGTCTAGCTCCAAAGCACCTGTGGGAAATCATCTCTGTCCACAGGGCGGCTGGTCACACACCCAGCCCTCACCCGCACACCCCAGGGTCCTCCTAACCAGCTCGCAACGCTGACCGCAGCCCCTGCAGCCCTTTCTCCACACAACGCCCAAAGTAACTTTCAGCTTATAAAACCCCCTCCATTACTCCTGCCCCCCAAAAAAATCCTTCAAAGCTTCCTGTCATCATAAAATTCAAATTACAGGAGCCCATCGCTGCCTGTCACCTCCACCCACCTCTCCTTCACCCATTCACTCTGTTCAACCCCCCACCCCGGCTGCCCTCCCCCCTCCCCACCTCCCACCCCCACCACCCCCCACCCCCCCAACCCCAACTTCCTTGGACATCAGCTGCTTTTTTAAAGTAACCAAACCCTTTCCGGCCTCGGGGCCTCTGGACAGGCCACACAGCCTCAGCTGTTCAGCAAGCATGGCTGATTGGTTTTTTAAATCGCCCCAGAACAAAACGGGCCAAGAACAGAATTCATCAGAAAGATGCATCCCTGACGTCCATAAAAACCCCAAACACCCTCTGCCCGTGGCAGCTGGTCTCCCCAGAAGCTGAATGGAAGTAGAGGGCGTGCAGAGGCCAGGCAGGAATGGAAGGGGCATCGGCAGAGGGCACCAACGGCAGCGACTGAAAAGGGAGAAAGAAACCGCCTGGGTCCGCGTTTTCCAAGGTCGGGGCTTCGGGTGGGGCCGAGGCGCCGAGGCGGCCACTAGGGGGCGGTGTCGCCCAAGGCTGCGCAGGGCTCGCTGCGGGCAGAGAAAACGCAGCTCCTTTCTAAGGATTTTTGATTACTAAAGAATTTTTATTTTATTTTTATTTTTTAAAGATTTATTTACTTATGCCTTATGCATACAAGAGCTGCGGTACAGGCCGGAGGTATGGGGTGGTGAGAGGATTCACCAGAGACAGAGTGGGGAACAGAACAGGCAGACTGAAACACAATGCTGAGGGGAGCAGTGGGGAGACAGGAGAGGTCTGCTGCGCCATGTGGGTAGCTCCTTGGCCCACCGGCGACCGAGCTTGTGCTGCAGAGGCTGAAGATAGCTTCATGGTGCTGTGCTTAACCCCTTGTGCCACCACAAGGGGCCCTACTATAGGCCCTACTACAGAATTTTTAGATTTGATCTTGGAAGGTTTGTTCATCAGACGGACAGTCACACAAACCGAGTTGCTGCATGGCCAGTGATGTCTCAGCCCTTTTGGAATCAGTCATGATTCCATTCCCCGCACATTCCAAAGGCCAGGTGGACAGTCTGGAGCCTGTCCCCCAAGGTAGACAGGGCCAAGGGGCACTGATGAGCTGGCCTTTGACCTCAGCCCGCCCAAGTGTTAAAGTCTCCCGAGGCAGACAGCACACACTGATAGCTGCCTTTATTGATTGTTGACTCACCGGCAGTGTTTGTCCATTTCTCAGTCATTCCTGACACAACCCAAATTCCAGAGCCCAGGCCCCAAACCCTGATCTATAAAGAGTGGGATTCCAGATGCAGGAATCTCCTGAGCCAATAAACCAAGAAATATCCACCCACCTCAGACTCCAGCAGGCACCACCTAAAGCCACCCGCCCTGCCCTCCATTGTCAGCCACAGGAGTGCCCAGCCTGCCATCGTAAGCATTCCAGAGCAAGTCGGGGGCTGGCGATTCCAAAAGAGATTCTCTGAGGAGGGTGGGGCCTTGGCAGAGGGGGGACCTCCTGCCTACCAACCCTGCCGTCACCCTCAGTGCTGACACCCTGGGTCCTTCTGCTTCTAGGTCATCATTAGCTCACATACCTTTACTTCCAGTGAGCCGTCCAGGTAAGTATTCGAAGGGATAAGCATCCAGGGCCATAAAAGTTTCAGAATTTTAATGACCTACTCACAGTCAGGAAATATTTACCCAGGGCTAGCGCAACACGCCTACTTGGAGATGAAAGGAAATGCAATCATATCGCAACGGGTACCGGCCCCATGGGGGCAGAGGAAGGTGTCCTGCAAAAATGTGAGCTGTCAACAGGCAAAAATGTGCATCATGCTTAAAAAAAGAGTCGATCAGGGCCTCCCCAGTAGCGCAGAGGTTGAGCACTGGGTTGCGAAGCTGCCCGCAGCCTCTGCGGCATCGGTTCGATCCCTGACCGCCGGGCAAGGGTCCCACACGGCGCGCAGACCTCTCCTGCCGCCCACTGCTCCCCTCAGCAGTGTATTTCATCAGTCTGCCTGTTCAGTTCCCCGCTCTGGCTCTGGTGAATTCTCTCACCCTCCCGCACTTCTGACTTTACCCAGTGCTTATATAAATAAATAAATAAATCTTTAAAAAAAAAAAAAAAAAAGCTGATTGCCTGATCACAACCTCAGAGAGCACACAGAGCCAGGAAGTAGAGGGACGTTAGAGAAACAGGCACCGTGGCTGAGGTTTCATCTGTCCTCCCTCTGCCTGAGCCCAGCCTGACATTGGAACTCGGGTCTGCAGATGCGCCAAATAGGCCCAGTTCAGGCCCTGATCTATTTTTGGGTTTTTTTTTTTATTATTGTTTTTTTTTTTAGATCTATTTATTTATGCATACAAGAGCTGGGGCACAGGCCAGAGGTACAGGTGGTGAGAGGATTCACCAGAGACAGAGTGGGGAGCAGAACAGGCAGACTGACTGAAATACACTGCTGAGGGGAGCAGCGGGCAAGACAGGAGAGGTCTGCTGCACCATGTGGGTAGCTCCCTGGCCGGGGATCGAACTCGTGCTGCAGTGGCTGCCCATAGCTTCACAGTGCTGCACCTCAACCCCTTGTGCCACCAAGGAGTCCCCCCCACCAACCTATTTTTGAACAGAGCTCAAGCTAACACTGGGTTTTACATTTGAAGGAGGAGGAGGAAAAAGTTTGTCCACTCCTGCATCATGTAAACTTATATAATCAGTATATAAGTTTTCACTATGAATGTGAGAGAGTCTAAACCCAGGAGGCCAGTGTGTGACTATGTAAGCTTGTCACACTGAAGGCACCAACTAGCTGTAACAGGAAAAAACTCAAGCTGTATCTCAACAAAGCAGAGAGAGAAAGAGAGTGATTAAAACAAGATTTTTTTTTTTTAACCACTATATCAG